ATCATATGACATACAACAAACTCTCACATACTCACATTTGACAAGCTGGAACCAGAGAAATTAGAGCATTTTTGCTGGAAAAATGACCATGTATCATTTGTCAGAATAGTTGCAGATTATTTTTTTAATCATATACTTAATTGTTTCGACTGTATGATGATGATAATGACAGTGTAATATAGAACAGATTTATATAATATAGAACAGATGTCCAAATCAGGAACTAGTATCCATGGCAAAGTTGATAATCATTCTCTACAATCATTTCAAAAGGTCTTAACAACTGATGAGACCCACACTGACATCACAAGGTTAATCATTAATATGTTCGAGTGTCATAGTAGTCCTATAGTTAAACAAATCAAATTCACCCTTTTATAAGGAAGCTAGTGTCAAATATTAAAACCAGGTCAGGATCAGGATTTCAGAGCCAAATTGGATGACGCAGGTCGACCTACGAAGTGCAAACACCAGACCTCACTGTCATTCAATAAAGAGTCTCCCAGCCTACTTTATGTGTGCACTTGGATGGTTTAGTTTTGGTAAATTTAGTTAACAATTGCTTCCTTATAATGAGCTACGCTGTAAATGTCAAAGCAGAAAACTTCAAAGTTATGAGCTTTGACCAAGAACAAAAAAAACTGCTGGATGAAACTGAAGTGGCTTTTGTGAGCGGTCCCATTAAAGATGTTTTAAGGCATAAAAGTGACTCTTAAAAATGTGTCTCCTATGGTGATACACTAGTGTTCATAAATGTAAATACCCCTGGCAGAATTTGTGAAATATTAGCTATTATTTGGAAAACTCATGTAAAAAAACAAATTTAGGGATAATGGACAAATGAAGCCAGCTCACATAATAATAACAATTATGTGTGCTCTTTTTGAATCATAATGATAACTGAAATCACCCAATCAAAAGTTTACATAGCCTGGAGTTTGGCTTGATAATATACACACAGTTGACACACACACACACGTTTAAATTGCTATTGCTATTATGGGTAAGTTTTCACACCTGTGACTTGTTTGATCTCAATTAGTGTCTGTATATAAATAGCTAATGAGATTCTTGGCTCTTAAGAGATCCCTGCACATTTCATCCAGGGATGTACTGACTGTGTTGGATACTGAGGCATTGGGAAAGCAAAAAACTGTCAAAAGACCTAGAAGACAAGGTAGTTGGACTATAATCTGACTTTATGTCAGGAAAAAAAAAAATTATAAAACACGGTCATGTAGAATGACAGAAAAAAAACCCACAAGCAACTTCAGCTGAAGTACAGGCTTCTCTTCAAAAAAAAGTGGTGTGGATGTTTCAAGATGCACAATAAGGAGGTACTTGAATGAAAATGGGCCGCATGATTGAGTTGCCAGAAAAAAGTTTTTACTGCATCAACACCACAAAACAGCTCACTTAAAATACGCCACACAGCACCTAGACAAGCCTCAAAACCTCTGGAGCGATGAGACCAAAATCAAACTTTATGGTCAACCATCACACTTGTGTACGCTGCACACTGGACCGTGATTGGCTGCCAAACTAATTCTCGCATATGTACACATCTTAAATTCAGATTTAAGGTTAGCTCAGAGAGGTTTTCCCTTTTCTGCAGCATCTGCACATTTAACATTGTGCATATTAAAGGTCAAACATCCTAGTGAAGTAACAAGAAACAAGGGGGATTTTAAATACTGCAAAGTGCGCTGCAGACTTACATGTACACATCTTTTCTGGGACCAATGACTTTCAATGTCTGCACTCTTTTCTGTTCTAGAACAAAGTATTTTTTGTATGATCAAAAAAGAGCCACTCTTAAATTCTTTTTTTTCCCCCCTGTCTCTTCCATTAGTTATGACTCTGCCCCCCTCTCGGCCTCCCTCTTATCTGATTGGAGCGAGGTTCACCGGATGACTCCAGCTGATCTGGAATCACTGCAGCAGGAGTTGCAGCTCGGCTCTCCCATGATCCTCTCTGATACCATTCCCCCTGATGCCTGACTTACCCTTTCTGCAATTTCAAAGACAAGACTTTGATTTGTGTAAAAGTTGTTGTCTAGCATGAAAACCTTGAGTGAATACTTAAAATTAATTTAAAAGCTAGCTTTTTTTAATAGGCAGTACTGAGCAGTCTTTTTTACCATTATGACATGTTGCGTCTTCTTTATAATAAAGAAAACTGTGTCATCACCAGTCTCTGCCTCTGGATATTTAATGAAGTACAATAAAATGGGTGTGTTCAATTTAAGCAGAGATTAAGTTGGTTTTTTGTGAGGGAGGCCGTTTAAAATGACCTTAACATTTTTAAGACTAAACACTTAAAATAACAAATAACAAAAGGATGAAAGAATTTGCATTTCTGAAATGTGTAGTGAAAATTAGGTAACATTTGTTCCAAACAACGTGTTATTTAAAAGACAATTGTTTTTGTATTTACAGTTGTAAGTGGGTGTATTAGAAGTAGAAAAGGTTTAAGGAAGCTTTGAAAGAACCCAACAGAAGTTGTGCTCCATATACAACATACCAGACTCCGCTCTCAGAAGTTGAACTGAGCACTGACCTGATTTTAAGAATCAAATTAACAATTTATTTTAAATACAGAACACATAATTCATTTAGATCACAATTTTGATTTAATATACAAAAACCTATCAAAACTACTTTGAATCAAAGATCATAATACAGAGTTATAGTTCTAAAAACTAAGATTATATTACATTTCATGTTCATTATGGCTCCATGTGCATGTCAGGTACAGTGTTCTAGTTTTACTATTCAGGACAACTTTTGATTTAATGAGACATCACTATTAAGCTCCTTCATTTGGCCTGGTTTGCATTAAATTCCCAGAGATCAAGAGTCTGATTTCTAAAGCAGGATCAGTAGAGCGGACAGACAGCTGACCAACACGATAGTCCTCCCGCACCAGTTCTGATTAGCTCGGCCGTACAGCCGGATCTCTGGTATGTTGCTGCTGATGAAGCTTGAGTAGCTGGTGATTTTGGCATACACACCTGGCTGGTTTGGCTGAGCACAGCCCACTCCAAAACTCACCACCCCAGCCTGCACCCAGGTCCCATTTACCATCTTGCAGACGAGGGGCCCTCCTGAATCTCCCTGAAAACACGACACAAACACACACAGACTTACTCAGCTTTCACCACTGGGAGGTATCAAAGTGCACAAAAGGAAGGTCTTAGTGGATGACTGCAGAAAAGTAGTGATCACAGCTATTTTCAATGCAGGTTCTTAGTTTGCTCGTGTAGGCGTGTGTATTGTGAATGTAAACACAGCAGTGCAAAAAGCTGATCTAAAAGTACCTGGCAGGAGTCCTTGCCGCCCTGCTGGTATCCAGCGCAGATCATGTCATCAAGGATGTCCACCTGATTGCCTGGGTCTGTCTGGTACATCTCCTGACATGAACTCAGGGAGATGATTGGCACCTGCACTTCCTGCAGAGTCCCAACTCCTGGCAGAGGGACTAAGGGGAATAAGACGACACATAGAGGATGAAGAACAAAAGGACTGAGTGAGACTATTTCATTTTTAGTGAGTAACAGTTTTTCTTTCTTCTTTTTATTGTGTATCTGTTGATGTGGGGGGTGAGCTGCTGCAGGGATAAATACATTTGTACTGAACGGAATTATTTTAAGTGTAAATCTATTGTAAATAAGTTCTATGATGGACCTGTTGATATACTACAGTCAAGGAATGGAATAAATTGGAAATATCCACCATGCTTTGATCTTTGTGGAAGAAATGTTTTGACAGCTGAAATATAGAAATTAACATAATAATTATAATATAGATATGCATTACTATATGGAACATTAGTGCTGGGTGATATACCCGTTGAACTGGTATACCGGTTTTTAATTTCCCGTATTCCTGTCAGTTTATATTTATTACTACATCTTTTTTATTTTTAAGTTCTGTTTTTATTACTTTGCAGTTCGCACAATAAAAATTCTGACTCCTTCATTATCGTATCATTTTGTGGGGCCAAGAAAACAGTAATCAAAGCCTTCAGTATATACACATATGTACTGCTGACAGTGGAGTACTATAAACCCTATATAAAGGCCCAGTCAAGCAAAAACAAAGCAAAACTGTGATGTACTGTGACTTCGCCACAATCTTAAAAAATACCATCGACCACTTTGGCTAATGTATGCTAAAATAAAATTACATACTGACGTTCAGTGCAATTAAGTGCGTTTCATTACAGACAAAATTGTTGATGTGTAAAAACAAAAATGTGATTGTAATAATTAATTTGACGACAACATTTACATTCTGATCTTATCACGATGCAATTCCTCTGAAAGCCAGTAAAGAAAATATTTAATTAGAATCCAGCCATAATGATTTCTAGATATTAATCCCCTGTAAAGAACTGGCTTCTATAACCCGCCGTTCTAGTGAAAAAAACAGTAAATGATACCTACAGAGAAAGAGTAAGTCATTAAAAATGTATTACTACCTATTGAATACTCTGACACATGGACCTACTTGGCATCTGTAATCATTGTTGTTGAAAGCAACAAAGATCATTATTTTCTTGATATTCTATTACAAAAATAGAAATGATAATTCAAATTATCCAGAATTAAGAGTCTAGGGTCTTGAGTCCAAGAAAAACAAAATAACTTTTGGGAGACTCGTAAAACATTTAACTACTGAATAAAACTTATGGGTGCACATGCTAACATGGATGTGGAGAAGCCTCACCGTCATCCCGGATGTTCCCCCAGCCGGTGACATAGCACAGCATGCCACCCGGGAACAGGGTGCCAGAGGCGGGCAAGCAGATGGGATTGACATAATCTGACCAGGTTACTGGGGTGGATAGCTGCACCAACGCCAAATCTTTCCCACTTTGAGGTTCGACGTAACCGTTTGGAACCACCACCTGATTCACACGATGCGCTGTCTGCTGCATGTTCATGCCATTCAGCTGGTACCGGCCAGTGTAGATCGTGTAAGAGCCCACGTCGGACGGACTGAAAGGAGATGGAGGGACACGGAATTAAACTTGCTAGTCCGGAAATGTGAAACCTTTCATTTACGGTGACAAAAGGTAACAAAAAGGTTGGGCCTGTTTTCTGACGAGGGAACAGGGTCATGGCTTGCAATTAAATGTATGTCTAGTGGTTGAAAGGTCAGTCATTGCTTCTTATTTTCTCCAATACTACCTACCTTTGGTGTAAATATAATAAAATATGGGTATTCATTTTCCCCCAGCCACTCAGGGATGCTCTCTAAAATTGTAACTCCAAAAATATACATATATATAAATAAATAAATAAATAAATCAGACCTCAGCTACCCCCTCTCCTCTGATAAATAACAAACAGTCCCTTACTTGGGGAAACAATGCGCGGCTGATAGGACCCAGTTCTCTGTGATGATGGAGCCTCCACAGATGTGAACAGCGTCTTTCTGGAAGCCCAGGGGAGGAAAAAGAGTGAGTCACCTCAGCATCACAGGCAAACCCTTCTCTCAGCAGGTCAGTTTTGATAAACAAGACCTAGACTAAACCACACATATAACTACCCACAGGCAGAACGGATACTAAAGACGATTAAGTGCAATATCAGAGGATGTTTCAGAGGGACCTACCTGTATATCCACCTGCCAGGGCCAAGCTCCATCTATGGCGTCCATCCCTCCCACAATCCTGTCCTCCTGTAGCGGTGGTCGGCCACATTCTTGGGCGTAGGAAGCTAAAATACCTAAATGTGTAAAACATTAAATTACATTTCTGGTTTACTGACTGTGAGACTTTTTAAAGTACGACACAATAATTTTGTTTTCCTGGATTAGATACGAGTACATGGTATGTTTTACAGGTGGACAAAGAAACAACAGACATGGGAGCAGGGAAAAGGCGGGGGAGGGAGTATTACGGTCGATACTCACCTGATACGCACCAAAAAACTGCAAGAAATAGACATTTCGGCGACATTTTGCGAGTTAAGTTTAACTACTAGTGAAGCGGGATAAAGCGACTATCTCTGAAACCAACTTTGGCGCAAATGACAAAAAAAGGAGTGTTTCTGTTCCACACTGTTACATCTAGCTTCCCTCTTTCTTTCTCGGGTATGTTGTGACTCCAGTAATTCAGGAAATAAAATTAAAAAAAGTTACATGTCCTTGGATAAAATCACCTCTCCAAGTGTTTTACCGTCGAGAAAATCCTGGGACGGCTCCAGGTTTGAGGTAAATTCCAAGAAAAATGCTTCGACTACAAACAGCTGGCTACCTGTGCTCACTTACAACCAATCAAAACTCTTGTCCCGCCCTCCTAACCCACCTGAGCCAATTAAATGAAAGGAATTTAAGCGAGGACCAATCAGATTCTCCTCCGGGTTTGGTCACAGGTAAACTAAGTTTCTTTTTTCTCTCATTAAAATGGTCATTTTCGCCCATTTCTGTTTAGAGCGCCATCATGGACAGAGTTTTACAGAAGGGCTTTGGTAATGGTAAGTGATAACAGGTAGTTAGCCCATGTGTTTTTTATATTTATATTATATTACTTATAACTGTTTTTATATTGCATTGGAGCGTTTGTGAGCGTTATATTCTATATGGGATGTTTTATTTGAGTTGCATATTCTTATTAGTTAGGCTATATATGTTTTACTTTTTTGGGTTTTTGTTATATTATCATTTCTCTTTACTCCCAAAATTACAATAACATATTCTTATTTGTCCTACACATTTGCAGATACACATGGACATGTCAAAGTTTTAAACATCATCATCTGTTTTAGGTATTTAAATGAGGATCAAATTCAATGAACCTCTTCCAATGTGAACTGAATTCATTATATAATTATATATATATATATATATTAAATATAATTGTCTGGTTTCTGGATTTTGTGTGAAAAAACTACACTTGCACTCAGTATTTATGAGCAATTTATGGTTAAAAAGCAACCACCAATGTAAACAGTATTAAATCGCAAAAACATGTAGTTAGGTAGTGTATTCTATGTTCTTCTTAAAAGTTATTCTCCTGATTTTACATCAGTTTTCTTGATATTATACCTACTACAATTGGCCTTAAACAATTAACTCCATTCTCCACTGTTAGGATACACTTTGTTTTATGGACAAGGAGTACGCCATGTACCTTGCACCAGGTGGAAATCATAAACCAGTTTAAGGTATATGTTTGTGGAAAAGTAACTAGGCACACATAAGATCAACAGCATCCTGATTGCAAGAATGGACAAAGAGCATTACAACACCTAGGTCAAAGGTCAAACATTGTCCCAAATTGGATAGATGTGTGTATGTCATTTGATTATCTGTTGTCTGCTGCTTAAATTGATCTTGAGCGTTTTGATTTTTTTGTATGGTTTATGACATCAAAACAAAGGACTCATTCAAATTGGTTTTTTATAGAATGTCCCACACACTGGGGCTTACGGTTTACCTATTGGTCTTTTTATTTTACGGTGACAGCAAAGTGTATTTCCTTCGTCTGTCTATTTAAAGCTGTCTCTCTTTTTCCTTCTGCTCTTTTCCTTCATCCCTCCTCCCTCTATCCTCCCTTTCCTCACTTGCCTCCCTGGCCCAGGGCAGTGTTGTCTTATTTCACAGAGCATTGAAAGGTGACAGGACAGAGAAGAGGGAGAGGTCTGGAGGGAGGGACAGAGGGGCAGGACACATACGACAGTTATCGCCTTGGGGCTACACAACAGTAGAGGAATGGGCGAGGAGGATGGAGAGGCAAAGGAGTAAAAGAGAGGAAGAGACTCACGAAGAGGTATTCATAGGGAATTCCATAAACAATGTTAAGTGGAAAGCAATGAAGTTATTTACACAATAGAGTTGAAAGATGTGTGTGTGTGTGGTCCATATGTGTTTTGCCCGATGTGGCCAGGTCAGGCCGGGATAATCACTTTGTTGATCAGTACGGTTTGCTTTTTTTGTGCTTGGGCGGGGCCCTGTCTCGACCTCTCTGGGCGTCGGGGGGTCTTTGCCGTGCCGGTACTCATAAGTATGGGATTGGAAACGCGGATTTACTAGGCTACCGTCAGTAGAGGCAATTATAATGCACTCCCGTTTGTTTTTTGCATGTTTAACGACTTTTGATGATTAGTTTGTCGTGGCGTTGTACTCATGGTGGACTGCTCACGCGCCGCCTCCCCCCTTTACCCTTTCCCTCCCAGCCCCTGTTCCACCACCCCTTCCCTGCGCGCGCCCCCCTTCAGCGCTGAGAAAAGCAAGGGAGTGGCGAGCTGAGGGGTGGGCGCGGGGGGGGAGAGAGTAGATGGAGAGGAGGTGACCAGGGACATGAACGAACAAGATGCACTAAAAAAAATTGATGGTCCTGGGAGCTACATGAATCGTTTGCACGTGAAGCACGCGGCGGTCTCTTCTCTCTATCTCTCTCGCTCTCTCTCTCTCTCTCATTCTCTCTCTCTCACACACACACACACACAGACACACATTATTGCACTCAGCACATAGGGATCACATAGGTTAAGCCACATTCCAACAACTGGAACACAATAAGATGCAACCATGATTTCTGAATAAAGGGAAAACAAAAGCGTAACCAGCTAAAAGCTTGGGAGGGATGGGAAGGGTGTGTGAGACCATGTTTTTAGGTTTAGTTTTAAATTAATCAAATGCTTTTGTTACTCAACTTCCCCTCACTTACTTTCTCTGCCCTCATTTATGTGTTCAAAGTACTCTAGCTCACAAGTTCTCTGTGGAAGTATAATTTGTAGGTATTTGTACATGAGTATTTCCATTTTTTCTACTTTATACTTCTTCACTAAATTTCAGAGGCAAATTTTATGATATAGTAACTAGTTATTGTGCAGATTATGATTTCACACAAAACATAAGGGGATTGTGTGAATAGGAAGCACTGTAATAGATTAAAGTACTCAACATTAGTGTTAACTAGTTTAAATAGGCCTAAGTTCCACCTCATGTGTTAATAATAATGCAATAATATAGTCATTCAGCATAATGAGTGCTAATTTTAAACTCTGATATGTTTGTACTTTTACTCGAGTTAAATGTTGAATATATGACTTTGAATATTTTTATTGTGTCATATCAGTACTTTTACTTAACTAAAGGATCTGAATGCTTCCTCCACCACTGTTCTTACTCCTTTTTACCTTTGAACTTGTCAAATCCTTTCCTTTCTTCAAGGCACATCTCGGAGGAAAGTAACAGAGAAAGAGGGGGGAGAGAGACAGAGCAATGGGGGCAGCAAGGAGAAAGAATAGCATAGTATGAAAGAGAGAGGGAGCGACAGAGAGAAAGGGAGCGCAAAGTCTTGTCAACCGGAAATAAAACAAGCTGGCACCCTCCCCATCCCCAAGCCCCTACACCCACCCCAAAGTCACATACTTCCTCTTCACTCTCTCTATCTCTCTCCTCTGCCTCCCTGCTTCCATCTTCCATCTCTTCTTCTCTCCCTTCCGCTGCAAAGAGATATATTTAAACCCCGGTTCTACTCTGCTCTCGCTCTTTGACTCTACCATACATACCGTCATACCTGCGTCATTACTTACGCCTCACATCAGACCTTGTGTCTATCGTTAAGGGTTTCTCTATGGTGCTCCTTTAACCTGTTTGAGGCCAGACAATGCCTTTGTTTATTGTCCCATAGCTAAGGTCAGTGTGTTATAGCAGGAGAACAATACCTCTGTAGTCAGGGAACAATACATAGGTGCTGTTGGAGAAGCTGTTACTCAAACTCTTTCTCATTTTTATAGCCCGGAGTTAAAAAACAAACAGATGTTATTTATCTGCCCTCCTTCCGCATCTTTACAGTGGGCCTATCACTCACTTATTAGCATAATATCAAATATCTGATTAAGAGAAGAAGCTAAAGATTAATGTAGAGCGGAAACCATTAGTCATTGATTAGTCAACAGAACATTAATCTGCCACTATTTTCATAATTGAGTTAATTATCAAAATAGCGTATAATAATAATTTTCAATAATCAAAAATACCAAATAAATCTGATGATGTGCTGCATTTACTGTGCTTACATTACTGTTGAGTCAATGTGCTATATTTGGGTTTTGAACTGACTGACAAAAAAGGCTGTTTGAAGAAATATGCAACATTTTTCAATATTTTCTTACAGACCAAGCAATTAATCAATTAATCACAAAAATTATAAAAAATTAAAACAGTTAGTTGTAGCCAAGCTTGAAGACAAACAGATGCAGAACATGCTTTTTAAAACCGCATCTTAAGCTTACAGAGTGGAAACCTTTGCTTATTTCATGTTATATTATGAAAATCTTTTGGATGTCACTAAATTAGTTTAAAATCTAATAGAAGTATTTATTATTACTTATCTTTGTCAAACAAATATCTGGAAATTCAGTAGGGTTTGATAGTATTTTCTCTCTTCACATTAACACAAAATAAATAATTCCTTCAAACAAGTTATTGTGTAGCTGAATATTATCATCATATTATCATCATCTTTATCTATCAAATATATGGCTATAAATACGTTTTAATAATTAATGATACAGACTGTAACATTATCTTTTGTAACAAGAATTTTAGCTTTATTAAATCTTTGTCTCAGATAGATCAGGAAATCGATAATATGATTTATTGTTAAACCTGACCTAAAAGTCGCTCAAACAGATCAAATCAATAAAATAATATATTATTAAGCTATATATCACTATTTATAATTACATAAATCTGTTTTACTGTGATGTAAAACTATTTATTACTTCAGTGGTTAAACGGATAATAAAAATGAAGAACAATGTGTTGTTAAGCCTGATATTCATTTCATAATAATCATGATAATTCCCAATAATCTTTTATCCTTACCTAATAATATCTTTTAGCTGAATGCAGTACTTCACAACAGCAATACAAAACAATACAACAGCAGATGCACATGGACATGTCAAAGCTTTATCAAAGTTTTAAAAACATCTCTAAGTATCCAAACGAGGATCAATAAAAATGAGTCCTTACTAGTGTGAATATTAAGTTTATTCTAATAGTGTCAGTTGTCTGGTTGTACATGTGTTTGTATGAAACATGCTAGACTTCCAATTATACTCTAATACTTATGTGCAATTTATGGTTAAAATTGAATTCCACTATCGCTCCATTATCTGTGCTTTATGCTCTTCTCTCTCGGCCTCCCCTCCTCCTCTCGCTGGCATTAAGTTCAAACTTGACACTGATGTTGACTCACTTTGTCACCCCTCGGTGGCTCC